ATGGGATGATGGTAGTGATGATGGTGATGATGGTAATAATAGTGATGATGATGGTAATGGTAATGATGATGATGGTGATGGTGATGACGGTGGTGGTGGTGATGACCGTAATGGTGATAGTGATTATAGTGATGACAATCATGGTGGTGGTGACATCAGTGGTGATAATGATGGCTCACATGTATGGAACACTCATTATTGGCTAGACACTATTGTGAGTGCTCCACATGAACTAACTCATTTAATCACAGCAATCCTGTGAATTGGTACTGTCATTACCATTTTATAGATGGGGAAACTGAGGCACAGACCCAGGTTAAATCACCCATCTGAAGTCACCCAGCTGGTAAGTGGAAGGACCAGGATTCAAAACCAGCTCCAGAGAAAACTGCCCTTTGATGACCTTTGCAAATGAACACAGTCTAAGAGCTTATAAAAAAGAATATGATGGGGAGGGGAGGATGTGCATTATCTAAAAGGAATCAGCCTTTAGGAAGGACAGGGAAGATAAGACAAACCCAGAGATCCCAGAGCTGAAACGTTCTCCCCTGCTGACGCCACCTTGAAGGGTTGGCTCACTGAGGGCTTCACTGCAGGCAGTTTGCAGAGGGCCAGGGTGTTTGTTTCTCCCCCTTGAACCATTTTGATGTGTGTAGATGGATATCCCTGGTTCCCATTCCTGAGTTTTGCAATGCCGATTTTGTGATTCTGCTGGCATCCACAGAGGGTTCACCTCACAGCTGAGTGCCATGCAGTGGCTGTGGCAGCACCCCTCCACCCTCATCCAAGACTGCAGCGAATCTCAACACCTCCCCACTCAGGACAAAACCCGCAAACAAGGCACAGCCTGGTGGGCTGTTTGGACCCTGTGCCTTTCCCCACATTATGTGCTGTGAAGGAGTGTGCGTCTATCGGAATGCTAACGTGCACATGTAAACACACTCATGCACACACACACCTCACTCTGAGACCCCAGGTGTCCCAGCACGACGTGTTGCCAGGTGGCTGTGCTTCAGCCCCGGCTACCTTCCAGAGAAGGTGGGGAAACAGGAAGGGCTGCCCCCAAGCAGGACCCGAACATCAAGCTCCCGGAGGAGGAGGAAGGCTGGAGCCCAGGTCACCTCCACCACTCTGTGCTGCGTGACTTTGAACCTCCTTGATCTCTCTGTCCTCCTCTATGAAGTGGAGCAGCAGCCCCTGATGTGCCCTCTTCAGAGGCAACACAAGGATGAGAACCTGTGCCAAGCAAATCTCAGGGCTTGTTGTTATAGGACAGGGTCTTTCTGTCCCCAGACGCCACCCTGCCCCACTCCCAGGCTGGTGTGTAGGGGCTGACGGTCCAGGCAAGTCTCCAAGGAACAGGAGGAAGGAAGGGCAAGGGATGGGGGCTGGATGAGGAGAGGGGCTTCCTGCAGGATTCCTCAACTCACCTGCAGGGCAAAATATAACTTTTATTATTATATGATTGAAATGTCCATCTTTTGAGCACTTTCCCCAGGTAGACTCGACAGAGTCAGCCTGTTGCCCAGGCTGAGTACAGTGGTGTGATCACAGCTCACTGCAGCCTCGAACTCCTGGGCTCAAGCCATCCTCCTGCCTCAGTCTTCTGAGTAGCTGGGACCACAGGTGTGAGCTACCACGCCTGGTGATTCTCCTTGCAGGAGAATCAGAGCAGAAATTCAATTCCCTCCTTCCAGGGACAGAGTGAGGGATGTATGCGGAGAGTGTGCCTTGGACCCTTAGATACAGAGTAAAGGTCCAGAGGTCCTGCTGAGCCCCTGAAATGGGTCATCCCTTGGGTTGAATTGAGGGCTCCACTAACCTGCCTGAGACTGGGTCCACACTCACCAGCTCATTTTGTGGGAGAGACTGCGGCTGGCTCCTCCGTGTGGCCGTTTCCTTCAGAGGACTTACATTTCCTTCTGGTCCCGGGTTCTGATGAAGTTATTAATCAGGGATCCGGAGGAGGCCGTGGCAGTGCTGTACGTGCCAGGACTGACTGATCAGTCCGAGGCCGCCACCCCTGGTGTCCGAAGAGGAGGCAGCGAGCGTCGTGGGGAGCGTGCACTACTCCGGTGCACGGCTCTGCGCAGCGAACAGTCTCTGAGTAATTAGTTTTTAAATAAGGCAGATGGTTCAAGAACCACCCACTCTGGGCTGCTTTAATTATTTATACCCCCTTTTTATTCTGATTATTCGTAGCTGTCCTCTTTGAAAGGGAAGGAAGATGTTTTTCTCTGATGGGCTCTCAGCATTGATTCAGCCACAACTTCTCCGAATCCCAGTGGAATCTGAGTCTTGCCCGGAAGTGGACGTGGGCACCATGGGGCAGGGCCCTGGACAGGACCCACGGAGAGCTGGCTGGGGGTGCTGAGGACTTTCTGTATCACGTGTCTGTGGGAGCCACCTCACCCTGCTAAAACCGGATGATGCTGCAGTGCCCTCCTGGGCGCACAGGGCAGAGGGAGCAGCAGGAGAGCCCAGGAGAACCACAAACCAGGGCTCTGGAGCTGCTCAGCTGGACCTGGAGAGGGAGCTGGCACCAGGGAGCTGGCGGCAGCCCTCCCTTCAGGGCTGTCGGGGGAGCTAACGTGATGACAAACAGAGAACCCAGTGCAGGCGTACGCTGGCTCTGTGGTAGCTCTTGGCTTGGGTCAGAATTCATCCTGCCCAGGGCTCCTTCTTGCCTCTCTCCCCCGTGTCAAGTGATGACTAGACGGCGGTCCTGGTCCCCACGTGTCAGATGAGCTCACTGAGGCTCCGACAGTTAACCCCAAGCCCCAGTACACCCGGCAAAGCAGGTCTTTAGCCCAACCCCTGGGCTCCCATCCCACATTCTCTCCACCTGGCTGTGTTTCCAGGCCTAGGTGGACACCAGCAATCCCAGGGGCCCCTCGCCTCTGTCTTCAGCCCTCTCTCCCCTCCCCACCCCAACTCTGGCCTCTCGGGGTTTCCTTAATAAGCAATCTGATCTGTTAGGAATGACCTCCTGGACTCTTTCACATGGACCCAAATTCAAGAAATGCCAAGCTGAGTCAGGAGCGGTGGCTCACGCCTGGAGTCCTGGCACTTTGGGAGGCCAAGGTGGGAGGAGCACTTGAGGCAAGAGTATGAGCAACATAGAGAGACTCGACCTCTACTTTAAAAATTATTTGTTTATTTTTATTTTTTGAGACAGAGTTTTGCTCTTGTTGGCCGGCTGGAGTGCAGTGGTGTGATCTTGGCTCGCTAAAAGCTCAAACTCCCGGGTTCAAGTGATTCTCCTGTCTCAGCCTCCTGAGTAGCTGGGATTACATGGGATTGCAGGTGTACGCCACCATGCCTGGCTAATTTTGCTTTTTTATTTTATTTTATTTTTTTTTAGTAGAGACGGGGTTTCACCACTTTGGCCAGGCTGGTCTCAAACTTCTGATCTCAGGCGATCTGTCTGCTTCGGCCTCCCAAAGCGCTGGGATTTTAGGCATGGGGCACTGTACCTGGCCTACTTTTTATTTATTTATTTATTTTTTAATTAGCCAGGCATAGTGGCTTACACCTGTGGTCCCAGCTACTCAGAGGGCTGAGGCAGGAGGACTGCCTGAGCCCAGGAATTGGAGGCTGCAGTGAGCTATGATCACTCACTGCACTCCAGCCTGAGCAACAGAGGGAGATCCTGTCGAGTCTATGTGGGAAAAGTGCTCAAAAAATGGACATTTCAATATAGGGTCAAGGAGTGACTTTGCGCCTGACCCTCCAAGCTCCAGGAGACCTTCGTGTGTGTGACCCTGAGGGCTGGCGGGCAAGTGCTCAAAAGATGCTTTGCCCATCACAAGCCTGAAGGCAGAGACCGGAGACTCGATGGGAAAGAGGGGAGAGGCATGAGCGGGAAGGAGGGAGCCAGTCCTCGGCCCCTATTCTCTCTTGGTTTACAAGAGACTATCCCAATGTGGGAAGTAGAAAACTTCCTCTTTAAAGTTTCATTTCTTGTTAAAGAATAAGTGTGCCAATAACTTTTTTAAGCCCAATAACATGCAGCTGTTAGACACGCCGTGCTTACAGGCACGTAGTACATTCTATGTCCTTGTACTTTAACCAAGATACCTGTGCTGGACGTGCTCACAGGTGTGTCCCAGCTCTCCATTGCTTTTACCTGTTTAGGAAAGTTTTAAGTTATTAGCCAATCAAGTTTTAAATTGTGAGGTCTGGCTCCAGCACAGGGAGATCAGACACAGCAGGAAAGAAGACCCCAAATGTGTAAGGGATACATTTGTCTGTTTTTCTTTGTTCATTGTACTCTGTGGCAAGATGGCTACGAGGGTGTCCTTCCTGCAGCCCAGGAAGTAAAAAGTCCGTTGCTGAAAGATCCTTTGTCTTAGTGCTGATTTTTCTTTGCAGCATCAAGCATCTACTTCCGGCATCTATTTCCAGCACCAGCACGGGCTTCTGAGCCATCCCAGTTGCCTCCTGCTCCTTCAAGGTGAGTTTGCCGAGCACCAGGCACCTCTCTCATCTGGGAGGGGGACAGGGATGGCTCAGCCAGTCGCCGCATGGACACCACCCCCACACACACACAAGCCTCCAGCTGCAGCCCAGGTGACAAGTAAAAATTTAGAAATCATCATTTCATTCCGCACGTTGATATGACAAAGTACTGTAGAGCTATTAAAATTGTTTTCAAAAAATAATTTAGATTATCAAATGATGTGCACATCAGAGTTTAACTGAGGAAAAACAAAAATAACAAATGTTTGCAAAAGCGTTTCATTGTAACTCCCACGTGCAGGCAGGCTGACGGAGGAGGTCCGGGCTTTCTTGTTCTTGCTTTTCTCTATTTTCCCAGCATTCTACAAAGGGCAGGCATTGCTTCTACTATCAAAGAAGAGCCAGAGCATTTAACTTTTTGCATTTTACTGAAGGCCAAGGCGTTCAGGAGGAGCAGGGAGCCTGGTGGTGCAGGGTTGGGTGGGCAGTGCCCAGAGGTCTGCAGCCCAGCCCAGCCTGGTGTAGCCTGGAATCAGCCCAGGGAACGCAGCTTACCTGGGACTCTCCAAGGAGGACCCAAAGATTTAGGCTCCTTCCAGGTGACATTTTAACCAATGACTGCTCCTGTGCAGGCGCCAGGCCAACGTCGCCGCCTATGTTCTGCTCCTCCGGCCCCTCCGGCCCCTCCTGGTCATGCCTTGAGGCAGCTCCAACATCTGTAAAGCATTCCTCCTCCAGGGCAGGAAACATACCTAGGGTCTCCACAGATTCCCACCACTCAGGACACGAGCTGGGCCCAACCTCGGTGGAAGCCTCTCCCCACCTTGCTTCCAAAAGGGCGGGAAGGGAGAGGAGGAGAGAGAGGAGTCGGGTGGCAGGAGGAGGCAGGGGCGCTCTGCTGGGCTCTGCTCTTGAAGCCTGCTCTACCTACCTTTCCACCTACCCAGAGAACTTCACCTGGGCTCCCTGCTGGAGCAGAAAAACACTGGCCACTTTCTGGGAGTGTGCAGGGTGGGACCCTTACGCACACAGACTGCGTTCGAAACCTTCAGGGGATACGCCTTCCTCCCCTTCCAGTCTCCTAGGCAGCCCCCCAGCACCTCCAAAACCACATCCAGCAGGATTTAGAGCAATGCATGGGGACCATTTCCTCCCAGTTACTGCAGTGATAAGGACACCACCACCCCAGGACCAGGGCTGGGGGGAACATCACATGGGCTTTTTTTTTTTTTTTTTTGAGATGGAGTCTGGCTCTGTCACCCAGGCTGGAGTGCAGTGGCGCCATCTCAGCTCACTGCAACCTCCTCCTCCCGGGTTCAAGTGATTCTCCTGCCTCAGCCTCCTGAGTAGCAGGGATTACAGGCGTATGGCACGATACCCAGCTAATTTTTGTATTTTTAGTAGAGACAGGGTTTCACCATGTTGGACAGGCTGGTCTCGAGCTCCTGATCTCAAGCGATCCACCCACTTTGGCCTCCCAAAGTGCTGGGATTATAGGCGTGAGCTTTTGAGTGTCTTCCTGGGGTATTTCTTTCTGGCATTTCCCACTGTACATGCTATTTTTGTAGTCAGAAAGTAGTGTTTTAAAATGGGAGAGAGTTGATCAAGCACGGTGGTTCATGCCTGTAATTCCAGCACTTTGGGAGGCCGAGGTGGGCAGATCACTTGAGGCCAGCAGTTCAAGACCAGCCTGGCCAACATGGCAAAACCCCATCTCTACTAAAAATACAATTAACTGGGCGTGGTGGTGGGTGCCTGTAATCCCAGCTACTTGGGAGGCTGAGGCAGGAGAATCGCTTGAACCTGGGAGACAGAGATTGCAGTGAGCCCAGATGGCGCCACTGCACTCCAGCCTGGGAAACAGAGCAAGACACTGCCTCAAAACAGTAAAATAAAATGGGAGAGCGGACGTGCACATCTACGCATAGGCTCTGAGCACAGCACCCGCCCAGTGGGCTCACTGGGTTCCCATCCGGCTTTCTCCGGGGCGCATCCAGGTGGAGCTGGGAGGAGCTTACCCACCAGCATCCTCCCTGGGCCCCTGAGCTCCAGGGCATGCAGGGTCTCCTACAAGGCTGGGTCCAGAAAAGCCCAAATCCTGCTTGTTGATTTTAATTTCTTTCCTGGCTTCAAACCTTTCGGCCTGGAGCAGGGGAGGAAGCAGGGACACCAGGTCTCCGCAGCCCCCATGAGATTCCCCACTTCCAGTGCAGGAGCTCAGAGCCAGTGCAAGAACCAGGCCTGTTCTCCCGGCCTTCCTGCTCTCCTTGGGTCTCTCCGTGGGGTTCAAGCGATTCTTCTGCCTCAGCATCCCGAGTAGCTGGGATTACAGGCATGCACCACCACACCCAGCTAATTTTGTATTTTTAGTCGAGACGGAAATTTTGTATTTCCTCCATGTTGATCAGGCTGGTCTTGAACTGCCGACCTCAGGTGATCCGCCCATCTCGGCCTCCCAAAGCGCTGGGATTACAGCCATGAGCCACTGTGCCCGGGCTCAACCTTACTTCTTAAGCTCACCTGCACAGAAAAGCTCACTCAGCCAAGGCTCTGAGTTCTAATCTACTTGGAGCCAAGTTCTCTTGGAACGAGTTAGGTTGGCATAAAATAACTATCAAATACTGACCAGTCCAGAGTTCAATCTAATATACATTTCCAAAAGAAAAACTTATTTTCAGCAAGGCACAGTGGCTCATACCTATAATCCCAACACTTTGGGAGGCCAAGGCAGGAGGATCATCTGAGGCCAGGAGTTTGAGATCAGCCTGGGCAACATAGTGAGATCCCATCTTTACAAAAAAATCAAAAAGTTAGCCAGGTGTGGTGGTGCACGCCTGTGGTCCCAGCTACTCGGGAGGATCGTTTGAGCCTGGGAGGTAGAGGCTGCAGTGAGCTGTGATCGTGCCACTGCACTCCAGCCTGGGTTACAGAGCAAGACGTTGTCTCAAAAAATAAAACAAAAACTTACTTTCAAGGATACACTAACTAGAAGCAGCTCACAGCGCCCCCTGTGGACGCCCTTCAGACCTCCCCCTTTAATGAAAGTGTCCTGATTTGTCATTTGCTTTTCAGTCATCTCTGTCAATCGGTGCTTCTCAAGCCTTGAGAACCCTTACCCCAGGTAGATTAAACAATCCCCCAGCAATTGCCCTGGTGCTGTCCTCACTCCTCCAGTGCTCTGGAATTATCAGTTCTCAGGGAGTTCATTCGTTTTAAATCTTAGGAGTCTGAATTCAGGATCGAACCTGTCCTGACCTTTTCTTGCCCAAGCCTCCCCTTCACCTGCAGCTGATCCCAACGCCCAGAGAACTGCACTCTGGGGGTAGAATAAACATTCTTACTCCGGAGCCTTCTGGGTTTCTGCATTTGAAACATTTATTTCAGGAAATACATTTTCAACATTTTGTAGTTTATACAAAAAGAGACAAATTTCTTGGGAGGCACGTAGCAAAAGGCCGTTGAGGATCAGAGCCTGATGAAACGAACAATTTTCAAGGTCTGGTTACAGAGAAGGACGGTGAAGCATCTCAAGGCTGGGATGCTGCCGCCCACCCCCCACCCCACCCTGCCACCAAGTGACACTGAGGCTGGGAGGGCCACATGGCCTGGTGCCACTCATTTCCTTCAAAATCTTGGTTTTGGCAAAAACATGGCAAGTTGGCAAGTAAACTGTCCCGCCAATGAGGCTGGTGGGGAGTCCTTCCTCTCTTGGATGGGGAGGGAGTCAGACACCCAATGCCCCGACTTCCATGCACACTCACACTCCTTCCCACTGCCCTTCTTCTGGCAGTGAGCAGCCAGCGTGGGACCTGCAGATGCACCCAGTGATAGGCGCACCCATGTTGAGTCCCATCAGGCCCCTCCTTCTCCCCAGGAGTGAGACAGGGAACAGGAAGCAGGAGGGGACTTTGGTCTGCTGTGCACCACAAAGGCAGCCCCCACGGGTCCCCTCCTGGGGATGGAGGGTGAGGGGCCAGGCCATGCTGCCATGAACCTCGCTCTTCAGCTCACTGTGGACTATGCAGTCCTGACCCTGCCTCTCCTTCCTAGGGGGTCATTACCGTGGGCTCTAGTGGGAGGGCCCCAGGCCCAGGTAGGACAAGGAGTCAGGCTCACCAGGCCTCCAACCCACCCAGGTCACAGAGTCAGCAAGGCCTGGGCCAGGAGGGGTGAGTGGCGGGGGTGGCTGGCTGGGCACTAATGTAACCACAGCCCAGTCTTGGGCCAAACCAGACACTGTACGGACGGACGGACACAAACATGGACACACACACACTTCCCTGGTCACTTGGGTGGGGCAGGCACTGGGCAGCTCAGGCCACTATGACCACCCCAAGCCACAGCCCACATGTGCCCCCGCCAACCTCCCTTCTGGCACCTTCCATGGCTCCCTCCCTCAGGCTCTCCACCAGACTCACTCGCTTGGACCTTTTCAAAAATGGGTGGCAAGGGGGTGGGGGTCGTCTTTCCTTCCTTTTTATCCTCAGTCAGATCCCAGCATATCAGCAGCACCTGCAGCCCTATGGGAAGGGTGGTGTGGGGGGAGCGGGGAAATGAAGACGCCTCCCTCATTCCAGCCTGTCCCCGCACCTGGCCGAGCAGCCTGCGGACGGCTGAGATAAAGGCACTTTCTGCTCCAGGACGGGTTTGGGGCGGGCGGCTGCCAGGGGCCTCAAGTGGCTGAGCTGTCAGTGGCGTGGAACCCTGGAATTTTCTACCCTTAGGAGTAGGGCAGGGGTGGGGAGTGAGTGACGGCCATGCCACATGGCAGGCAGGGGGTCCAGGTGCCCCTGATTGGCTCCATTCTCCCCTGGGCCCTGACTCATTCCAGGGGCCAGGGCTGATGGGGATGTAGCCCACCGGGTCCCTCTGCATATTTGAGGCCTGGCCCCCACCCAAGGCCCCCGGCACTGAGAAATGCACCCGGACGGATGATTAGCACACGGAAGCTACTCGGGGAGCCAGGCCTGGGGATGGAGGGTGGACCTCCCCCAGACCTCGGGGAGGCCACGGGCTCATCACTGACTGACTCGGAGGGAGGCCCCTTCCCTTGTTTCCTGGCAGCGTGTCGAAGGGATGGGGAACGATGACAAATGGAGAAAATCATATAAAATAAAATGGGGCGGTGGGAGGGCCTGGGAGGGACGGAGAAGACTTGGGGGCAGGGTCCCGGGGGCGGGCAGGGTGGCGTCTACATCTCCGGGGCTTCTGGCTCCTTCTCCTCCACGCCATTGGCCATGGTGCTGCTGCCCTCATTGAGGCGCTTCACGCGGTAGGCTTCGAAGTGGATGCTGCTGGTGATGTCCTTGATGTTCTGCATGTGCGTCCTGGGGGGGCGGGCGGGTCAGTGAGGTGGGGACAGCAGGGCCAGGGCAGCTGAGCAGGGGTCCTGCTCAGCCTGCCTGGGCTCAGGCCTGCCTGCTGTTCCCGACTCTGCATCCCGACTGCTTGGCTCCCCGTGGGGTCCCCCAGGCCCACTATGTTGGACCAGATATGGGACAAGGTTGGGGAAAGGGTCAGTGCCCTGGTAAGCCCAGACGCACTCAGAATACACACTCCAATGCATGTGACTCCCTCTGGTTCCACCCTATGGCTGGTCCAGGACCTGCCCAGGGACAGAGAGCTGGGTGCTGGGTGCACAGACTCAGAGGGGCAGGCCTAGAGTGTCCTTGCTCCAGCCCAGTGTCCAGGGTGCTGGCAGGGAGGAGGCAGTGGCTGACTCAGCCTCCAGGGCTATGGCCTGGGATGAAGGGCTGGATCGCCCTTGTCCCCAGGAAAAAAAAGTCCTGAGCTCAGACTTTCATTCCTTTGCAGCTCAGGAGGAATAATTTGGAGGGAGGCTGGAAAGCCCAGTCTCTACACAATGGCTCCCGGGATCCCCCGCCCCTTCCCCTGCCAACCTGGGGGCCCTCCTCTTAACAGCAGTCCCATCATCCATGGCACCTGCTTGCTGAGGAAGAACTTAGGAGCCCCTGACACCCCAGTAGGAGGCCCCCACCCTCTCCATTCACCTGCCTAGGCCAGGGCCTACACTCCAGGGACCACCCACCTGGTACCCTCTCTAACGGGGCTTCCTCCCCTTGCCCGGACTCAAGGGAACCAAGGAGAAGCCTCAGCCAGGTCAAGGGGTAGGGGTCAGAGGCCACTGGGATCAGAGCTGGGGACGTCCCATGCTGCCGGCAGGGCCTGCACTGGGCTCTTGGTGCCCACTGGGCAGCTCTAACAGGCCAGGTCACAGTGGATCCAAGCTCAGTCCTCCC